AGTGTATAATAAATATATAAATGGCAACAAGTTGCTAAGGGGCAGATTTTTGTTTTGTAAACAAATCTTAGTTACCAAAATCACCTTATGTTATAAAACAGTATTTTAAAAATACAGTTTCCTTTCAGTATTTTATGATGATTAGTTTTACATCTACTTCAGTTTGGATTGTTTTCTTACATGGCTTCTTCTCATCCTTGTCTCACTAATGCAGTGGTGTGTGTCTTAGACTGGGTGTTTGCAGGAGGAGTAACAGTTAATCCGAACTAAGGACTTAGTTCAGATTAACTTCTGACTGCTGCATGTAGCCGTGGGCAGTCAGTTCGAACTAAGGGGATTTAAAAATGGCACCCTCCCTGGAATATACAAATGAAGCCCGGGATATTTAAATCCCGGGCTTCATTTGCAAGTTTGAATGCCTACATTAGCCACCCTTGTTCGAACTAGGGGGCTAGTGTAGACATACCCTACGAGACATAGTAGTCCTGCCTGGGTTTTAATCATTCTCAACTCCTAGTTTATCTCCTCCACACAAAGAAAGCAGGCAAGGAATCTATATCCAATTCAAATTTCAACACTCTATTTCGATTGGTTCTCCCATCCCCCTGGCCAACACCTTTGCTAGCTATCTGAGTTTAACCCCTTAGTAACTGGGTACTGTTCAGCACTCCTCTTGTCCATTACAATAGCAGACACTAAACACAACATTACCTCTGTTGCTTCTGCCTCTAAACTTTCTCCCTCCATATACTGGAACTCTGAATAATCAGACAGTTCTCTTACATACAGTGCAACTCCTCCTCCTTTTCTCCCACACCTGTCCTTCATGAACAGTTTATAACTTCCATGACAGTGCTCTAGTCATATGAGTCCTCCCATCAAATCTCCATTATTCCAGGCAAATCCTAGTTCTTTGACTGTGCCAGGACTTGTAATTGTTCCTGCTTGTTTCTCAGGTTTCTTGCATTCATGTATGGACACTAGGGATGTAAAAGTGTAGTTGATTAACCAATAAGTGAAAGCTTGCCAGTAAATTTTTACAGCAAGCAGGCCAATAGCCCAGCTCAGTCCTTTCTTGCAATGGGTCCGGGACCTACCCCTGCTTCATATAAATGCTTTGCATTTACAGACAGGGCCTGCTGCCACCCTGTGCTACTGCCTCTTTATTAGAGGCAGCAGCAAAGGGCAACAGGCAGCTGGTCCACAAAGGGAGCTGGTTTTTAAACTGGCTCCCCTCACGGACCAGCTCCCACTTGGCATCCCATGCTGCTGTCTCTGATGCAGTGGCAGCAGCGTGGAGTGGCAGAGGTCTTCTTGGGAGTGAGGCCAGAATGTACTGGCTGCCAGCCCCACCCACAGGAACTATAAAATAGTCAGCTAACTGATAAGAATTCATGAAGTTACTCAAATATTCAATTAACTGATATATAACATCCCTAATGGACACCTTAGACAACTATCTGATTGCCCTACCTTCTCCGTACGAATCAGGGGTCTACCTCTGTTGCACCTTCCTCCTTGTGTTTCTTCCCAGTATCCCTCTTCCCCATTCATCCCTAAGCCCTGAGATCTGAGCACTATCCCAACGAGCAGTAAGTGATCTGAATAGCATCTGTTCTTTTTTTCTTTCTTGTAGGAATTATGTATGGAATTTTGTTGAAGTTAGTGGGTGGGGTCAATTTGGTGAGTTATGACATGCTACAGGTATATAATAGGGATGTAAGTCAAGATGTAAGTCACTCCACTCCATCTACTTGCTGCGTCTGTAGCAGATGCAGCAAGGGGGGGGGAGAGCAGGAGTGAGGGATGGGGGGCACAGCTGTTCTTACTACATTTAAAAGGCAAAGTCGCAGTGGTCCGGACCCAGCATGAGCCAGGACTGCTTGTGCCAGGTCCCAGACCTACCCCCACTGCAGCCCTGCAGTTTAAATGTAGTAGGAGCTGGGCTGCCCACCTGACTGGCTCCTACTGCATTTAAACTGCAGAGCCGAAGTAGGGTTAGCACGCACTCCCCCTTATCGATTAATCGAGTAGTCAATTGAAATTCCATTGACTACTCTATTAACTAATTAGACACTGCTTAACATCCATAGTACATAAGAGCAAAGGTGAGGTCAAAGAATTACATCTTGTATTTGAAATGGAAAATTGTAAGTTGAGTTGGTGGGGTGGTTTGTTTGTTTGTTTTTGGCTAGACCTCTGTAACCCCCCCTTTTTCCTCCCCGGGTTACTGGGGAGCAGGTCACACTCATAGGTGTGCCTGGGCATCTGGTGTTTTAACCCAAAAGAGATCCTGAGTACCCCAGTGGTGATGGTGTTTAGCTGGGGAAAGCCCTATCCACCCCCTTGCTGCAGTCCCTTGCTGGCAATGAATGTAAAGTGGTGGTGCCTCCACCTGGCTGGCCTTGTACACACACTGGTGCCTTGAGAGCCTCCAGGAATATACTCATTCCAACATAAAGCTGGATCTAATTCCAGAACAACTACAAATCATACACATCTAATAGAATACTTTAAAATAAACCATCTTTACTTAACTAAACAGGGATTAACAGATTAGCAAGGAATAGCCTTAACAAAATACATAACAATAACTGAAGCTTATATAGCAAGACAACAGTGACCCCACCCCAGAGTGTGCACACCCCTAGACTCAGTCCCAGACACTTGCTTGTGTTGGCACGCTGATGTTGCAGCTGTAGTGAGGATTTGGTTCAGGCTAAACAGCAGTTCTGTCCCAGCTGCACTCTTCCAGCAAGGCCCAAACTTACTGCCTCATGCTATGCCTGTAGGAAGCAGCCTGCTAACTCCCAGTTCCAACAGGCATGTAGTAGCTGCACTCCAACAGCCCCTGCACTGGGTCAATGTCCTTGGCAGCAGCCTGGCTCCCCCTTTGGTTCCAAACTGCAAGGCAGAGTCCCAGACTGCTAGGCCTCTTCTTCAAGCACATGGAGAGAGCCTCTTCTCTCTCACAAGAGTCCCTCCTACCTCTTTTGTTCCAAGGGCTCATGGGAATTGTAGTCTGGATTGCAGCACAGGGTCTTTTTAGAATAAAACAGAGGTGCCTTTAGTAAGGGGACTACACCTCCAAGAAAACACAAGGCACTCCAGAAAGTTGTGCTTTTGACACAAAATGAAGCTGAGCAGGTGCCCTACAACAGTATAAGAGGAGTGTGCGTATTGTGTTTTGTATTTGTTAATTAAAAGCAAGCTCCTAAATATAGTAGTCATTGTGGCCCTTTACTCAAGAAAAGGGAATTTAGTCAGGATATTGGGGATAACTAAATTCCCCCTCTGCTTTCATTTGGATATAATATTTTTCAGTTCCTTATCTAAACAGAGCAGTAGTACAGCCGGTCCCTGAGTTGCGAACAGTCGACATATGACCGTTCGCATTTACGACTGAAGCTGTCGTTAATGGCGGATCCCAAGTTACGAATGCAATCCACGCTTACGAACATGCGGGACCCTGGCCATTGCTGTGCTGCAATGGGTAGGCAGAACACAGCCCTAGCTTCACCGGGAAGTCCAAAGTCCTGACTGCACCACAGAGGCTTCAATGGAGGCAGATGGGAGAGCAGCCCCAGTCTCGTACCCTGACCCCACGTACATTGTAGTGGCCCTGACGTACCTGCCTGCAACCCCAGTAAGATCACCGCTATTGGTTAACCACTTAAACAATATAATTTTAATCATTTGGCCTGCTCTATGAAACTTAAATGCATGTTAAGAGCATTTTAAGGGATTTTCTAGTCAATACATTATGCAACACTTTCCTTTTTTTTTTTTAAATGTAAACTGGAAAATGTGAATTTGGAGGAAAAAGTGTTTTCATATTGAGGGCTTTTTGCATGCTATAGGGTTTTTTTTTTATTCTTGTTCTTTGCTGGTACAAAATCTTCCATTATTTTCCTACTACAAAATGCCAGTGCTGCCTCATGTCTAGTTCCCTTCACTAGTATTTAGTAATATAATGTCATCTGAAATCAACTATCTCATTTTGGAGAAAGAGAGGTGTTGGAAATAAATCCTTTAATTATAATTAATCTTATTTTCTAACATCCTGAGTGTTTGGAATGGTGTGTTTTTGTCATAACAGAAAATGGAAACACATGATAACTTAAATTTGAGAAAGTTCTCTTCTTTTTTCACTTACAGTATTCTGCTCCATACTCTTACTGCCCTGCCTGACCTGTTACTCTTCTTGAATTGGTCTTAAGCACTAGAAAATAATGTTTTGGGACTCTGAAGAAGATATTTCTGCATTCATTTTAGGATTATTCTTTTTTGTTTGAACAGTAATATGCTAAATACAGTGGTTTCATATTTCACTCATGAAGCCCTCTGTAATTTGTTAAACTACTTTTCTGGCAGCCTTATGTGCTTCATCTGTCCATACTACAAATATAATTGTGTTTTTTGTAAACAGATCATGACATGCTCATCTGAATCATTTACAGCAAAAACAGTTTGAGATGCATCCACTCTGCAGCCTTTGATATGGACATTATAGTGAAATGGGAAAAGGTGCATGGAATTTGGTGTTAAGCCACAACTGTTATTACATTTTAGGTGCTATACAAGGATCTTTCTAATCTTTTCCATCCATGTGCAGAATAAATGTTGTAATGTGCACTGAGGCTAATGTGAATATTTCTCCTGGTGGTACACATAACTTAGCTGTGGGTGCTTTGGTAATCAGCAGGGTGACATTGGAATCTCTCCTGAATGGCCACACAAGCACACAGGTTACAAGGAACACTGGTGCTGTCCACTCGTCACCCATACTCTAGGCATTTAATTGATTTTGGTGAGTATGTTACAGGCTATCTAGTGTTTGAACATAAATTTAAGGGCCAGCACTTGTCCAGAACAATAAAAGTAATTTCTGTATAAATAATTTATTTCTTTAAAGGCAATGCTGTATTATTTTATATGCTTTGTAGCAGATTCAGGAGTGATGTGTTTTATGTTTAAAATTATATTTCTTTTTCTTACAGTCTTTTCAGGGAAGCCAGGGAAGAGCCTACCTCTTTAATTCTGTGTAAGTATGACTACAATTATATACTTTCTGTGAAATATCAACCTTTGGTTTATTCCTCAGATGGGAAAAATATTCTAGTAACTAGGGATTTAAAGGGTTAACCAGCAGTCTACCTACTACGGGCTAGGAGGCTGCTCCAGCCGGGCTAGGCTCACCATGTTACGGGTGGGGTGGGGGCCCACCAGTGGCATGGAAGTCCCATCCCAGGTGGTTAAAGCTGCCCACATTTAGCCACTTGACATTTTAAATGGACTTTGACATCCCTAACAGTAACACCATTCACTCTATCAATTTTTTTTTAATGGACATAGTCATTATACTGGGAGTCCCTGTTGATACGTATGACTAGCATAACTGTGGCCTTTTTCAAGAGAATGTTTCTATGGTGCAATTTGTCATCTGAGTCATCTTCTTCGAGTGGTCCCCATGGGTGCTCCACTGATGGCATCAGGCTCGTCCCAGCGCCGCAGCTCGGAGATTTCCAATAGCTGTGTTCAGCCTGGTTGCGAACGCACAAGCAACAGCTCTTGCCGTTTGTGCCCTTTGATCATCGCGCGCCCCTGGCTCCCCGCTCAGTTCCTCCCAACTGTCCTCAGCATTACTTCAGTCTCCTCAGGAGAACTGTAAAAAAAAAAAAAAAAAAAATTACTTTGTACATAGGTTTTCCCCCTTGTTTACTCAACGTTCTTTGTTATTCAAAAAAAAAATGGATCGCTAACAAGTTATTTAAACCACAGCTTTCCTGGTCAGCCAGTAGCTGCTTTAGCCGCAGTCTGAAATTGACAGAAACCTTCACAAATCAATAACCCAAGGATGCCTGGATTCCCAGGTTTTAAAAAATGTTCCCTGTGTAAAGAGCCCATGCCAGCTTCGGATGGGCATTCACTCAGATCCCCCAAAAATGCGGGCATTGCTTAAAACTGACAGCCAGGACAGAGAAATGTGCCTGAAAATGCTGATGTTCGATAAGGCGCTTGATCCCGACTCTGCAGCTGTAAAACAATCAGAGGAGAAGCAGAAAAGAAGAGTCTTCTCCACCAAACCAGCCCCACAAAAAAAAGAGAAGGCTGTCCCCTGCTCGCTCATTGCCACCTGATCCTACAAATAAGATCAGCGCAGGACATAAGCCAGGGACCTCCGGCTCTGCCCCACTACCTTCGGCACCAGGTTCAGGGGCAAAGACAATGAGGATGCTAGCCCCAGAGAGATCTTTCTTGGTGCCGAAGACGGCTGCAGTGCCGGCAAGCAGCGCCCACGCTTTAAAGCCACTGGCACTGCATCATTCAACTCCACCCGTGGTGCCGGAGCAACGGCCACCCTCCACAGCGGGATGAACACCAAAGTGGACTCCGCAAGCATTGACAAGCGAGCCACCACTGAGGCTGGCACCACAGGACAACCCCATCGTGCAAACAGAGGCAGCACTGCCAGAGGAAGTAGCAGAGCCACTGACCTGGCAGGAGCCAGCACTGGTGCAAACAACAGCAACAGCTAAAGCAATTGGCAAAACCCAGAGACAGAGGAGTCCCCGTTCCCCATCTCACCGGGCACCTCTACTATACCGGCACCATGATCACGGAAGCCAGACAAACTTTTCAATCGCTTGGACTCATAATCAACGAGCAAAAATCGATTACAGATCCCATGCAGATCCTAAATTTTATAGGAGCACGACTAGATTCCACCACTGCTCGTGCATACTTACCTCAAGAGTGTTTTCAGATAATACAGGAATTAGCCGTGGTCATCATCCATGCCCCTACAGTGACTGTGCTCATGTGCCTCTGCCTCATGGGGCATATGGCTGCCACCACATTTGTGGTTCACCATTTGAGACTCCATTTCTGCTGCCTGCAGCATTGATTGGTGTCAGTCTATACCCCAACAAAACACAGCACTCACAAAATGATCAATCCAACTGCTGTGGTTTGCAGATTCCTACGTTGGTGGTTGAACCCCCAAAATCTTCTACCGGGAGTTCCATTCCAACATCAGCAGCCATCAAACCAGTTGACGACAGATGCCTCCCTTCTTGGACGGGGCGCACACAACAACAGTATGTCCGTGTAGGGGAGATGGTCTTCAGCAGAGGCCATTCTACATATCAATCTCCTGGAACTAAAAGCCGTATTTCTTGCTTGCAGATATTTCTGGACAAACATTACCGGTACGACCATCTGGGTTCTGATGGACAATATAGCCACTATGTATTATATCAACCATCAAGGAGGTGTGCATACCCAATTGTTCTGTGCACAAGCAGTCTGCTTATGGAATTAGTGCGTGCAGAACCGCATCACCCTGATAGCATCTTACTTACCAGGCATGAGCAATGTCATGGCAGATGCACTCAGCAGGCATTTCCCTCATGACCACGAGTGAGAAATCCATCCCGATATCCTGAACCACATCTTCCATGCTTGCGGATCGCCTCAGAGAGACCTTTTCGCCACCTATGAAAACAGAAAATTTCACCTATGCTGTTCGAGAGGGGGCATAGACAAAAGTCCCATGGGGATGCACTACTAGTCCACTGGGATGGACCTCTTCTGTATGCATTTCCACCGACAGTGCTTATACTGAGGGTGATACAGAAGATCAGAGACAACTCTGCTCGAGTTATTCTCCTAGTACTGGCATAGGCAAGACAGCCTTGGTACCCGTTTCTCCACAGGATGTCCCTGCAACCACCGCACCCTCTGCCCCCCCTCCCAGACCACCTTTCTCAGAGTCACGGCTCCCTATTACATCTGAGACCGGAGACCCTCCATCTGACAGCGTGGCTCCTAGCTGGTTCAACATAAAGGAACAGCTTTGCTCTGATAGGGTGAAAGCGGTTCTTTTGCACAGTAGAAGGGAATCTATAAGGAAGACTTACCTAGCAAAATGGAATAGATTTGTGGCTTGGTGCAAGAACAGCAACATCTGTCTATACTCTTCACCGATACATAAGATCCTTGATTACGTACTAGCTCTCGATCAAACAGGTCTTTCCATCTCTACCCTAAGAGTGCACTTATCCTCAATCAGCATCTTCCATGGTACCATTGACAGGCATTCTATCTTTGCTCATCTACTGACTAAGAGATTGCTTAAGGGAATAGCAAACCTCCAACCTCCCTGAAGACACCAGCCCCCCTCTTGGAACTTGGACTTGGTACTGGACACCTTGATATACCCGCCTTTTGAGCCTTTAGTTTCAACATCCCTATCCATGCTCATGATGAAGGTGGTATTTCTACTAGCAATTATATCTGCCCGTAGGGTCAGTGAACTGTCAGCACTAATGGCAATGACACCCTTCATGGTTTTCAACAAAGACTCAATTATGTTGCACACTCATCCTGCTTTCATCCCTAATTTCATGTTAACGAACCTATCGTACTGCAGGTCTTTTATCCGAAACCACGTCTCCACCCGAGAATCACTACCACACACACTATATGTACGTCGAGCTATAGCTTTTTACATCGACAGTATGTGGACCTTGTGCAAAAAAGATCACCTACTAGTATCCATAGTGGACCCCTCCAAGGGAAATCCATTATCCTCCCAGCATGTTTCCAAGATCATAGTTTCTTGCATTACTACCTACTACTCAATCTGCAACAAGCCCCTTCAGACTCTTCCTAGAACACATTCCACCAGGGCAGTGGCAACATCCACTACCTTTGTGCATGGAGTCTCGCTGCCGGACATTTGCAGAGCATCCACATGGTCCTCAGACTTGATATTTATGAACTATTATTCAATAGTTCAGTGGTGGGCAGCAGATTCCTCGGTGGCTTCAGCAGTACTTTCAGTCATTGACAAATCCTAACTCTGGAAACTCAACATGGGGTACTGCTATACAGTCACCATCAGTGGAGTACCCACGGGGACCACTCGAAGAAGTAGTTGTTACTCACCTTCGTGCAGTAATGGTTATTCTTAGAGATGGGTCCTGGTGGGTGCTCCACATCCCTCCCTTTCTCCCCGTTCCGGAGTTCTTTTTCTCTCTTTCCAGACATCGAACAATGAGAGGAACTGAGTAGCCAGCCAGGTGCGAGCAATGATCAAATGGCACGAATGGAACAAGCTGTTGATTGCATATGCGCAACCTGGCTGAACACAGCTATTAGAAATCTCCGAGCTGTGGCACCGGAACAAGCCTGACACCATCAGTGGAGCACCCACGGGGACCAATCTTTAAGAACCATCATTACTGAACGAAGGTGAGTAACTTCTTCTTTACACTTATCTAGAAAATCCTATCATTAGTTACATTTAAATCTTAATTAGAAATAAAGCTTTCAGCTGCATCTGATGCTAACTGAACTGTTCTATTCCACTAAATTGTTTTATTCCAGAAAATTGCTGTAACTTTTTTCTGATGGACATCATCACTAATGTGAGAATTGAGCATTGCTTTTTCAGGTTAATCTTTAGAATGCTTTAATATTGGCCTTGAAAATTGTAGATTTGTCAGAAGCAAGAAGCCAGACTTCTCTCAAGAGGGTTTACAGTTGCAACTTAACCTTCTAGTCCGGGGTGGCCAACCCATTAGGGACAAAGAGCCAATATAGCGGTGGATTGAGTACGAAGAGCCACGTATTGTATAGTTATTTTTATATATCAATCTATATAAGTAGATACAGTGGGTTTTTTTTATTTTTTGTAAGAAAAAGGATGCTGGTACTCTGGGGGGAAAGTTGTTGAGCAAAAAAAAAAAGGATTTAAGCTATGTAGGGACATTTGGTGTAAAGAAAGGAGTGTGTGGGTGGGTGTGTATGAGTGTGTGGGTGTGTGTGTGTGTGTAGATATAGATATAGATAAAAATAACATTACAGGACATTTCTGACAAGAGCCACTCTCACTGGGTTGAAACAGTAGGTGTGGATGTGTGGTGGGAATGAAGGATTTGGGTGTGGGAAGTGGTGAGAGGTGCAAGCTCTGGGAGGGAATTTGGGTGCAGGGAAAGTAGAGAAGGAGATGTTGGCTCATGCCATCTCTGGGAGGGGGCTCCACACTGGACAGTGTTCGAGTCAGGTGGAGGGTTGGGGTGCTGAGCAAGCTTCAGGCTTGTGACTGTGAGGGTGCAGGTGTTTGGGCTGGGGTGTATGAGGGGCTCAGGGCAGGGAGGCTGGGAGTATGATGGGCTCAGGACACAGATTTGCAGTGTGTGAATGGTGCAGGAATATTGTGGCAAGAGACTGGGAATTTGGGGGTGCAGGAGTTTGGGGATGTGAGAGGCTCAGGACAGGGGGTTCCAGTGTGTGATAAGCTCAGGTTTGGAGCGCTCAGGACAGGGGGTTCCAGTGTATGATAGGCTCAGGTTTGGGGCCAGGGCGGGGGGTGCAGGAGTGTTATGATGCTGCAGCCAGATGGGGGCTTGGCCCCAATTGGGGCCTTGTTGATCAGGCTTCATTTTTAAATAAAAAATTATGTCAAACACAACATGTTTCAGCATTGTCTTTAGTTATGAGAGGGGTGGGAGAATCTGTTTTCTGTGGGTCAGTGACCCCGACTCAAAAGTTGGTCAGGGTCACACAAGTGAGAAGCTAAAAACAACCCCTCCAAAAAACCCCAAGCCTCAAAACTGTGGCCCCAACTGTGCTGGTGGGAGAAGGGAACAGAGTTCTAGGGTAAGGTGCTGGTGGGTGCTGGGGCAGCATGCTGGTGAGTGCTGGGACAGGTGGCAAGGTGCTGGTAGGGGCAAGGGACATGGTGCTAGTGGGGGGTTCTGGCCAGGGCGAGGGGACAGGGATACCTCAGCTGGTACCGGGGATCCTGGGTCTCAGGAAGCACATGGGCTACTCTTCCCCTCCTCTCCCCTCCCATCCCCTCCCATAAACAGCTGGCACGCTTCCTGAAACACCAGGTCTGTCGCTCAGCCGGGGACTTCCTTCCCCCTGCTGCCTGCCTGTGCGTGTGGGGGGGGAGGAGTCCCAGGACTGCATGCCAGCTCCAACTTCTCAGGAAGTGCGTCCTCTTCCTCTGCTCCAGACAACAGCTGCATGCTTCCTGAGAAGTTGGAGCTGGTATGCAGTCCCAGGATTTCTACTCCCTCTTCCCCACCCCCAGCCCCGCTCTAACCCAATCCCTCTCCCCTTCCCCAGAGCCAGGCACATCCCTGTTCTAAGCCAATCCCCCTCTCCTTCCCCAGAGCACACCCTCCTTGCTCTAACCCAGTCTCTCCCCCCGCAACCTAACTCCTGGAGCCTGGAGCCGCTGCTGCTACCACCATGCACATCTTCCTCCAGGTGTTGGGGTGTGTACGCTGAGTGGCCAGCCTTGAGC